CTGGGATTGGGGGGAGAGAAAAAGCCATTTTGGGGGTGGGGGGAGGAAAGAGGAAGAGGGAGCACACTCCTTGTAGGAAGTGATGAAAGCCACCTTGGGTCCCCCTTTTTGGGGGGAGAAAGGTGGGGTAAAATTAATTTAAATTATTTTCCTGTACCCCACTTCCCTCCCTATGGGGTGGCCTTTGTAACTTCCTTCTCTTGGCTTAAAAGGCCTCCCAGGGGAGCTAACCAGCCTCTCCACCCACAGATCTTGGGCCACCGCCTGGCTTGTCATCGTGATGGAGAAGCAAACCTAGAAAAGGGGTGGAGGGAGAGACAGAGATAGACCACGAAAGCCTGTTTTGATTTTATTTATTTGTTTATTTCCTTCCTTTTTTATATATATATTATTTCTATGGGCTGCCTTTCTCCTCCAAGGGATCCCAAGGCGGCTCACGACAGCTGATACGGTCCAGCAGCCCAACAGGTTTGAAATGCCATAGAAATATCATTATTAAAAACAATTAAGCCTCTATTGAAACTAAGACTGAGATTAAAAACATTTACAGTAATTTTTTAAATAAAAAATCTGTAAGTTAATAAAACCAGCATCGTTGTGACATTTAGTGCTTGAAAGCCCGCCCAAAGTGGCAGCTTTATGCTCGACTCTGGAAGGACAAGAGGGAAGGGGCCAGCTTGGCTTCTTGGGGCAACCCTTTCTAAATACTGGGAGCAGCCACCGAAAAGGCCCTGACTCCTCTTTTTGTGTACAACCTTGCGTCATCAACTGATCTTTCTCAGACAAAGTGACGGAAATAACTTCTTGACAGGAGTCTGGAAGCTTGTGGGGTTTTGGGTGCCCCTCCATGCTGGAAGCACGGCAAGAGGGTGTCAAAAGCCCGGATTCCCCTTGGCCTCAACTGTCCTCCTCCAGGCTTAAGCATGGCGGGCAGAAATCGTAGAACAGGGTCTGGCTGGAGAGGCACATTTATTTTATTTATCTCTACTCTGTCTTACTCAGAAAAAGGTTCTAAAATGGAATCCTTCTGTCGGGGACTCAGGAAACGTTTAAAATAATGCAAAATAAAGAACATAAAGTAAAAGAGAATGTGAGCAGGAAAAGGTGGAGTCATGGGGGAAGGGGAGAAGTCGGGGCAGGAGAAAAGAACTCGATCGTGCTGGTTGTAGTGGGGGAGACTGAATGCCTTGGGGTGCCTCTGGATTCCCCACTGCGCCTCCAGTGAGTAGAGCCAACCGGGGTAGCCTTGGGCAAGCTCCACGGTCCCAATCCGTTTCATCTGCCTTGATTCTTTTAAAAAAGGATGTCCAGGATCATTTCTGCGTCTCGAGTTGGCATGGTTGGGTGTCATCAGTTATGCTCAGGGCGAAGGTAGAAGAGAGAATCAAAAATACCCTTATTGGGTTTCGATGTCAGTTTGTTACCTGGTTGGCGAGACCTGCATTGTTATATAAGCTCAATGGACTGTTTATGTCTCTAGTGAGGTCCTCAGCTTATATGCAGGCCAGGCAACCTCGCTTTATTATGATTCTCATATTGTATTATGCCCCAAACTGTTCTGTGGCCGATTTATAAGTGGCTTATTTCTCTCAAAGAAGCTGGCTGGATAGCTCAGTGGTTTACGTAGCTCAGTTGGGAGTTCAATTCCCCCATTGTGCCTCCAGCCTGTGTAGCCTTTGGCAAACTGCACAGTCCCAGAAATGCCCCCGGAAGAAGGGAATGGGAGATCACGTCTCTACCTAGAAAACTCGGAAAAGGGTTGCCACAAGTTAGAACTGACTTCATGGCGCATGATTATTATGGATTTCAATACATTATATCACACTCTTCTCTGGGATTGAAAAGCAGATGCAACTGATGACTCTGGGTGGAACAGGATGTTGCTTTGCACAAACCTCTGAGCTGTTTTTTTTTTAACCTCGTGGTTGGGAAAGGGATCTGTCTGCCGAGAGAGCGAGAGCCAGTTGGTGGAGGTTTCCTAGAACCCAAGGCCTGTTTGGTGAGATTGCGAAAGCCACACTGATTGAGCCAAGCAACAGAGAGAACAGGGGGTTGTGAAAGATGTCCTGAATCCGAGGAATTTGCCGTCATTGGAGCCTGGCCAGCTTCTGTTAAAGCGGTAGCACAAACTGTTAAGAAAACCACAAATGTTGAAGTCTGTTTTGTGTAAGAAAAGAAAATGAAGGAAAGGTGGAAACTTGTTTTTTAAGCAAGAAATCAGAAGCAGAACAAATTCAGTCTATTTAGATGTTTCAAAGGCCGGGTGGCTGCCTTTGAAGATAAGGCTGCTTCGGAGGTGGAGAAATCTGATGCTGTCATACTTAGGGTAATGGTGGATATATATATATATATATATATTGGCAGGGTGGGTAGACCTTGAGTGGAAAATACAGTGCTATAGTATCAGAGGGACGTGGTGGCACAGTGGGCTAAACCGCAGAAGCCTGTGCTGCAGGTCAGAAGACCAAGCAGTCGTAAGATCGAATCCACGCGACGGAGTGAGCGCCCGTTGCTTATCCCAGCTCCCGCCAACCTAGCAGTTCGAAAGCATGCAAATGCGAGTAGATAAATAGGGACCACCTCGGTGGGAAGGTAACAGCGTTCCGTGTCTAAGTCGCACTGGCCATGTGACCACGGAAGATTGTCTTCGGACAAAAGGCTGGCTCTATGGCTTGGAAACGGGGATGAGCACCGCCCCCTAGAGTCGAACACGACTGGACAAAAAATTGTCAAGGGGAACCTTTACCTTTACCTTTTATAGTATCAGATACTTCTGTGCACAGGAGGTCATTCTGTCAGGTCTGTTCTCAGAGCCCAAATTTGGTTTTCCAAGCAGGCCTCTAAAAAAACTGCTCCCTGTCTTCCTGGATGGCCCAGGAGAGGCACCTCTGGAGAGATGTCAGAAGCCCTCTACTCCTGAGGAGAACACAAGTGGAAAGAATAGCCCAGTCACCTCACCTGCTGTGGAATTGGTGGGTGTACTCCCAGTTTAGCTGCTCCCCCTCATATCATTCTGGACTCGAAATGAGGAAAGACTGAAAGAACTGGTCATGTTTAGCCTTGAGAAAAGAAGAGCTAGGGGAGATAAGATAGCACTTTTCAAATACTGTATTATATATCATATTGTAATAATGTCTATATAATATATATAATAATATATATGTGATATATCATATATCATGCTCACACTTCCAAAATACACACTCGGCATTTGTCCTTGTGAAAAATACTGTACAAAAAAAAGCACACTCTAATGATTCTGTATAAACTTTATACATTTTGTAATAATCAGTTTCTTTTGGTCTTCAGAAAACATTTAAATGGATTAGATTAACCAAAGTACGACAACACCATCCCCTTTCAATATATACTACTTGAAAGATTGTCGTACAGAGGAAGGGCAGGATCTGTCCTCCCATCATCGCAGAGTGCAGGACACATAATAATGGGCTCAAGCTGCAGGAGGTGAAATTTAGAATGAATATGAGAAAGAAAAACTTCTTAACTGTTAGAGCAGTACGACAATGGAACCCTTGGGAGGTGGTGAGCACTCTAGTAATGGAGGCATTCAAGAGAAAATTGGATAACCATCTGTCAGATCTGCTTTAATTTGGATTCGATGGCCTTTTAGGCTCCTTCCAACTCAATGATGATATGGGTTGTTAACACAAGATTCCCTGCCTTAGTGAATGATCATACCATATGATACCAATTCACTAAGGCAGGGAATCTTGTGTTAACAACCCACACTCATTGATTGTGAAGACAGGGAGATTGTTTTCCTATGTGTAGTACATATATGAAGAGAGTATCTATAGTGTATATGAAAAAAAAAATCAGCTGAACAGGGTATTGGATATGAAAAATAAGACAAAATGAAAATAAACTGTCTTTGCACCCCCTTGATCTCCTTGCAGGTGTTAGAATGATGCTGGGGACCTATCCTTGCTCATCTCTTCTCTCTGGAGGAGCAGAAATGGCTTCTCTGCAACCCGATCTGGTTGGGGCCAAGCAATGGAAAGGTGCCGGATGCTTTGCTCCTTTGGCTGTCTCTTTGAACCTGCAGGTACCTCTCCTGTTTAGTTTGCTTTTGGCTGACCCATGCCTTAAGAAAGTGAAGGATATTACCCGTGATGGGTTGAACTTTGACCTTAAGCACGAGTATCATCATTCCTTTAATTCTCCTCCATATATAGCTGCAAATAGTGATCAGAGCGTTGTATTGTTCATGAGGTTAAAACGTTTCCCTCTTTTCTCAGGGTGTTGTGACTTTTGAAGACGTGGCTGTGTATTTCACGGAGCAGGAGTGGACGCTGCTGGATCCGGACCAACGAGCTCTCCACCAGGAAGTCATGGAGGAGAATTTAGCCAACCTGGTCTCTCTGGGTAAGCTTTGTTTTGCTTCCATTTGGTTGATAAAACCAATCTTACAAATGGAACCATGGAATTGACAGCGTATCCACCGTAGTTCTCTCCCCTTCCAGTTTGCTAGGCTTGTGAGCTCTTTTCTAAAGGGTGTTCAAAATGTATTTCATTCATTCATTTAAAATATTTTTTAGTACAGGTAAAGGTAAAGGTTCCCCTTGACAATTTTTGTCCAGTCGTGTCCGACTCTAGGGGGCGGTGCTCATCCCCGTTTCCAAGCCATAGAGCCAGCGTTTTGTCCAAAGACAATCTTCCGTGGTCACATGGCCAGTGCGACTTAGACACGGAACGCTGTTACCTTCCCACCGAGGTGGTCCCTATTTATCTAGTTGCATTTGCATGCTTTCGAACCGCTACGTTGGCGGGAGCTGGGACAAGGGACGGGAGCTCACTCCGTCACGTGGATTTGATCTTACGACTGCTTGGTCTTCTGACCCTGCAGCACAGGCTTCTGCAGTTTAGCCCGCAGCGCCACCACGTCCCTATAAATAAATATTTTTTACCCCACCTTAATTCTTAAAAAGGACCCAAGGTGGCTTACAACATTAGAAGGACAATGTTTAAAAACTAAAAACAATGTGCACAAATATTTTTAAAAAATTAAACCAGTATTTTGAAGACAGAAGGGCCTGGCATGGGGTCTGGTCCATGGGGTCACGAAGAGTCGGACATGACTTAACGACTAAACAACAACAAACCAATATTTGATTAAAAATGGTAAATAAAATCAAGACTAAAAACACATTTAAAAAGAACAGGGCAGGGCCATCTCTCTCCTGTTATATTTCTTTGAATTCCATCATTTTGAGATGCTAACTTTCCATTCTGGCTCCAATGAGATTCTTTTTTTCTCCCTCCCTTTCAGCTGCTGATATGAGAGAGAAGAGCTGCGAGGAGGAAGAAGAGGGAGGGATATGTTTGGGAATAGTCATTGATAAAAACCGGAAGCACTGCTTAGAATGCGGAAGGAATTTTATTCAGAGTACCACCCTCGATGATCATATGAAAATCCACACAGGAGACAGGCCGTTCAAATGCATCGAATGCGGGAAGGACTTTAGCCGGAACACGTACGTGGCCTCCCACAAGAGAATCCACACCGGGGAGAACCCGTTTAAATGCTTCGAATGCGGCAAGAGCTTCAGTCAGAGTACAAGCCTTGCCTCCCACATGAGAATCCACACAGGAGAGAACCACTATAAATGCCTAGAATGTGGGAAGAGCTTCAGCCAGAGCACACACCTGGTTTCCCACATGAGAATCCACACCGAGGAGGAACTTTTTGAATCCTTGGAGTACGAGAATGGCTTCAACCCGAGTCCTAACTTGACATCCCACATGCGACTGCCCACCGAGGAGGAGCTATTTCAATTTCTGGAATACGGGAAGAATTTCAGTCAGAGCACGAACTTGGCCTCCCACATGAGAATCCACACCGTGGACAAGTGCAAATGCGTCGAATGCGGAAAGTGCTTCCGCTGGAGCTCCCAGCTGGCCTCCCACATGAGAATGCACACCGGGGAGAAGCCGTTCAAGTGCATGGAGTGCGGAACCACCTTCCGGCACAGCGCGTCCCTGGCTTCCCACATGCGGATCCACACGGGGGAGAAGCTTTCCAAGTGCTTGGAATGCGGGAAGTGCTTCAGCCAGAGGTCCAACCTGGCTTCCCACATGAGGGTCCACACCGGGGACAAACCCTTTAAATGCCTGGAATGCGGGAAGTGCTTCCGTCAGACCGGACACCTGACCTCGCACATGAGAATGCACACGGGGGAGAAACCTTTCCGGTGCCTGGAGTGTGGGAAGTGCTTCAGCTGGAGCCGAAACCTCCAGCGCCACGTGCGAACTCACACGGGGAGAAGCCATTTAAACGACTGGAATAACCTTCAGGAGGAGTGTATCCCTTGCCTCCCGTATGAGAATCCGTACAGGAGAGAAGCCTTATAGAGCCTTGGAATGTAGGAAGTGCTTCTATCGGAGCCCAAAACCCTTTTAGATCCTATTGGAGAATCCAGGTGGGAGGGAAGAAACCATTTAGATGAGGGAAATCCGGGATGGGCTTTTGGTTCGGGCAGTCTGCTTTGCTTCCCATTTAAAGACTTGGTGGCCGTGGGGTGGAACTGGACCGCTGCTTGGTCTGTAGAAAGACGTCTAGGCAAAATTCACCCCCCCAGGGATCCACAACAGCGAGAATCTGTAGATCTTTGCCCCCCCAGTTTGAGCAGTTTTTAAATACATCCAGGTGGGTAATGTAATTTTTGTAGAGGTAGGCGATTGAGGGGTGGGGGGGAAAGATGTTTTCACTCGAGTTGCAGTTGGAGTCTCAAGAAAAGGATATAGGATTTATTCAAGGATATCCAATTGTTTTAATCACCTGAATCTGTTCAAATGACCTGTAAGCAAGTCTGGTCTCCTTCCAGTAGCTGAAAGGCAGCCAACCGATGATCTTATATGAAAAAGCAGGGGGGGGCTAATCTTTTGGGGACAGTGACCCCCCCCACTCCCACCCACCCCCGTTTTGAGCCTCGTTCAGATGTTCAGCCAGAAAGCATATAAGGCTCAGAGGGTGGTGGTGATGGCCCAGGTTCTCTAGGAATCCTGGCCTCCATAGAAAGGCCCTCGTCAGCAAGGCTGAACAAACACACTTCTAGCATTTCTGCAGTCAGCGGCGGTTTTGTAAAGTTTATGGCTATGAATTGCCCTTTCGTGCCCAAGGCCCCCTCGGCGACTTTGAGTTCCAACCGACATCCTATATTGCCCCTAGGAAAATCTTATTCTTTCCCCAAGGACTGCGAGAATAGATGTTCAGCTCAGAGAGACCTGGGAAGCCTCGGCTGGTGTGTCATTCATGTCCCTTGCCATATTCTGAACTCCATCTTCATTTTTACCAGGTTGACTAAAACAGGCAGCCTTACGTTTGATATCCTTTCCCACTCTCAGTTTCTCTAGAATTCTTAGAAGGGAGAGCACTGTTGAATTTCGGTGGTGGGGGCAAAGGCATTCTGTGGTCTGGACGGTGGCAGGCCTGATCCTGTACTTTGCAGCATGCCTGTCTTTTAAGAGGAAAGGGCACAGTTCCCACAGCGTTATAGGAGTCTGCATTTTATTCTCTTATTTTCTTCTGACACAGTCAGTAGCCAGGAAATATCCTCAACCTTTGAACCGCAGAATGGATTCACATTCCTGTCAGACTCTTCGCCGTGATGCCAAGAATGCCATCCGGCGAAGTGATGGCAAATTATTTAGGCTGGTATTTTAAAAAGGAGGCTGGCAAAAAGCTTTAGAAAGGACCTCTCCATATGAGAGGAATGGCCTGATGGGAAACTAGCAAAGCCCTGACAGGTGTCTGTCACAATTATTATTTCCTCACTGAATAAGAGGTTCTGATGGAAAAATCCATCAAGTCTTCATTCTCTTAGAAGTAGTAAATCAATATCATTCCTTTAAAAAAAAAATATTGTAGGAACCCATGTCCAGCCCGTACCTAGTTAGCTAATCAGAGTATAATGGGTCACTTTGTCAAAAGCTTTGCTAAAATCAAAATATATTATGTCTCCAGCATTTCCACCATCTACAAGGAAGTTTACTCTAAAAAGAAAAATGAGATTAGTCTGGCATGGATTTGTTCTTGATAAATCCATATTGGCTTCTTGTTATTTCTGCATTGTTTGATTTATTATCTGCTCCAGAATTTTCCCTGGGATTGATGTCAGGCTGACTGGCCTGTAGTTCCAGTTTCCTCCTTTTCTGAAGACCACAACAACATTAGCCCTCCTCCAGTCCTCTGGCACTTCACCCATCCTCCATGAGTTCAAGAAAATAATAGTAGTTGTGAGAAATCTTCAGCCAGTTCCTTCAGTAATCTTGGATGCATCACAATCTGGAGATTTTAATTAATTCACAGTAATAAGATTTCCCTTGACTATTTGTTTATCAATCTCAAGTTGCTGTCCTGTCCCCTCCACTTGTGTTTTTCTTATTTGCCTGGAGAGTCATTGACTGTCTTTTTTGGGGGGAAATGAATTAAAGTATTTAGCACTTCTGCCTTTTCTTTGTTGTCATTTTCCTCTGAATTTTCTGTGAAGTCATATTGGTTTTTTTTTTTTTTTTTTTTGCTTTCTCCCACCTTTTTTCTTGTTGGAATTATTTGAAGTTATGCCTTCAGAATTTTCTTTTTTAGAAACTCCCATCTTGGATTCCTTGTTACGATTTCCTGCCATTGGACCTTACCTATCATTGTTCTGAGTTTATTAAAACTGGGTTTCCTAAAATCCAGTGTGCATGTGCAGCGACACTGTTTTTTTTTCCTTAGAAAGCAAGAACTCATGTAGAATATGGCCACTTTCCCCCAGAGATCCCCTTTCTGCCATTTCTTCTACTAAGTCATCTCTTTGTTAAAAGCAAGTCAATAATAGCTACTCCTCTAATTTCTTCCTCCCTTTTTGTATGATAAAATTATCAGCCATACAAGCCAGGAATTTCTTGAAAGGGCTATACTTGGCTAAATATGCTTCCCAACAGATACCAGGATAATTACAATCTCCCGCTACTACGTTGTGTCCTTTTGAAATTCTTGCAATTTGTTCTTCAAAAGTCTCATCCATATCTTCTGGTTGATTGGGTGGTTGGTAGTAGACTCCAACTCCTATGCTTCTTTTGGATTTTTGGTCCCAATTATATTAATCCAGATGCTCTTGATGGCACAACCAAACTCATCCTCCTGTATTCCTTCCATCGCTGTATTCCAGTCATGGGAATCATCCCACCAAGTTATCCCTATCAAGTCATATTTATCCCCCTGAACGAAGACTTCCAGTTCTTCTTGTTTGTTTCCCATACCCCTGGTATTTGTATTTACACACCGGAGGTTGTGTGCTTTGTGGCCTACTTTCCTTCCTACACTTTTATGCAGATTATTCTTGAGCCCCATTACAGCTGTCAGTGCGTTCCTTTTATTGCACAGAGTAAGCCTTCATCCATCTTTACCTCTGAGCTTGCTTTTCCCTCCCCCTTTCTTGATCATGTACCTCATCATGCAGCCAGTTGCACAACCTGGGTGTATTCTGGCCCTTCATCTGCTAGTCACAATTCACCACAAATCTTACACGCACATCAGAACAACACATCACTTCCCTCCCTGGCTGGCCATTCGTTCAAGACCAGGTTTAGGATGATACTTTCTTCCCCCACCATGCTTAAAATAAGCAAACCAAATGTGGAGAGCATTTTAATTTAATTTTATTTATTTTTTGTTTTAGGCGTGGGAGAACAAAACTGTAAAAGATTTTTTTAAAAATCTCTGCTAGAGAAATAATGATAATAATTGTGCACAGTTAAGTGGTTCAGTTTTTAAGCTGCAGTAGTGCAGCCAAAACTCTGCACAGAAGTCTGGTTCAATCCCAGGTAGCCGGCTCGAGGTTCACTCAGCCTTCCATCCTTCCAAGGTTGTTAAATTGAGGATCCAGCTCACTGCAGGGGGGCAATGTGTAGCCTGTGTAATTAACTTGTAAACCACCAAGAGAGTGGAGTATGGAGCAGTATATGAGCAACACAGTTTGTTCTTTCTGTTTTGAGTCACTCTGACATGGCAACCCTTTCCAGGGTTTCCCAGGTAGAGAATATTCAGAAGTGGTTTCCCCTTCCCTTCTTCTGGGGCCATCCTCGGATTATGCAGCTTGCCCAAGGCTACACTGGTTGGCTGTACTCGCAGCAGGCTCTGGGGGGATTTCGAACCTCTCACTCTGCACTGAGCTAGCCAGCCAGCTTCTTTGAGAGAAAGAAGCCACTTATAAATCAGCCAAAGAACAGTTTGGGGCATCATCATCACAATACGAGAATCAGAAGGAAGCAAGGTTGCCTGTCCTGCTTGTCGCAGAGCACCTCACCAGAGACGTAAACAGTCTCTTGAGCTTATACAACAATGCACATCTAACCAACCAAGTAACAAATTGATGTCGGAACACAATACTTTGGTGCCTCGCTTAACGAGCGCACCGTATAACGACGAAATCGCATAGCGATTGGGTTTTTGCGATCGCAAATGCGATTGCATACCGATGGCCCCTATGGGCAAAAATCGCTTTGCGAAGATCGGTAAGCATTTTGTTTACCAATGTTCGCAAAGCGATGCCCGCGGATCAGCTGTTCGGCGGCTCCAAAATGGCCGCTGGAAGCCCCAAAATGGCCGCGCGCAGCGTTTTTGCGCCCTCCCCTCGCTTACTGAGGGCGCGAAAATGGCTGCCGCTATGGAGCAACTTCACTGAACGGTGAGTTTTGGAGCCTATTGGAACGCATTAAACCAAGTTTAATGCATTCCAATGCACTTTTCCGTTCCGTACAGCGATGTTTCGCCATAGCGCAGGTTAATCCAGAACGGATTAACCTCGCTATGCGAGGCACCACTGTAAGGGTATTTTGGATTCTCCTACTTTTACCCCGAGCAAAATTGGTGGCACTCAACCATCCCTATTTGTGATGCAGTTTATAAGGCAAGCGATCCTGGACATCCCTTTTTTTTTTTTAATCAAGGTGGCTGAAATCAATTGGTAATTAAGTCCCTTCCTACCAAACAGTAGGGACGTGGTGGCGCTGCCGGTTAAACCGCAGAAGCCTCTGTGCTGCAAGGTCAGAAGACCAGCAGTCGTAAGATCGAATCCATGTGACGGAGTGAGCTCCCGTCGCTTGTCCCAGCTCCTGCCAACCTAGCCATTTGAAAGCATGTGAAAACTACGAGTAGATAAATAGGTACCACCACGGTGGGAAGGTAACGGTGTTCCTTCTCTAGTTGCGCTGGTCATGTGACCATGGAAACTGTCTACAGACAAACGCTGGCTCTACGGCTTGGAGACGGGGATGAGCACCGCACCCTAGAGTCGGACACGACTGGACTAAATGTCAAGGGGAACCTTTACCTTACCAAGCAGTAAGCAGTCCAGGTGGATCTTGGCTGTGCTTCAGTCTAGGAAAAGCAGGCCTTGTCTCTTGAGAAGGGGTTCCTCGGTCCTTCTCTGGGGGTCCCGCTCCACCTTCCATCGGCTAAGCAAGTCACCAAGCTGCGACCAAGATGGAAACGGTTCGGCTCTTTGCCTTTCTTCACGGTAACATACGAATATTACATTGCTGTTGCCATGCATACTATTGTAGTGTGTGAACCTGATAGAATAAGAATAAAGTGAATTTTAAAAAAATTAAGCCATGTGTTTGAATTTGTCATGGATTGTGATCCACAGTAGGTTCCGTGGATTTAAGGGCTGCAGTCCCCTTTCTTGTCCGGCATACTGAATTATTGTGAATATTCCCATGTGTTTGTATCCAATTCCCTCCATGAGGTATTTGCTCCTGTTTCAGATGTTGGAGAATCCATCGCTGGAAACGTTTGCTGATTCTCCCAAGTCACAGGTTTTGACATGAATAGTGGAGATTGCAAAGCAACTGCAGTTTCCTCCACGGATCAGGGCAATCATGAAAACAGGTTTGGGAGAACTGAGGCAGGATGGTGGACACGATGGATCGCCAGCATGTGTTTTTGTTATTCAAATCTTGTTTTGGGGTCTTGGAGGCCAGGGTGACAGGCCTATGGAAATCTTTGATCTGATTCATTAAGGGTGTGGATGGCTGTTTTTGTACGGGAAAATAGGGTTTGTTTGGACCTCTTGATTCTGCTTTATTAGAAGCACCTAGAGGTTAGAAGCCCTTGTTAAATCAGAGTCCAAGAGAGAAACCTGTAACTCGTTCGTTGAGAGCTGCCCTCTTAGAAAAAGCTGAGGAGCCTGTTTGTGTGAAGAAACTGGTGCCAGTCTGGTGCCAGCCTGCTTGCTGGAACTTGTATAAAAGCAAGCATCCATACATCTGACATTGCCTAAAAGACTTAAACATGGTTACACAATAAGGAAAGAAGCTTTTGGCTTTCTCCGGAAAAAAAAACACAACTTGATAGATTGAGACTTGGAACACGTTATGGTGTTTTTTTTAAAATCTGTTTTGATTTAAAAGAGTATGAAATTTGCAGCCCCAAGACAGTCCACTGCTGGCCCACTCTGGGACACGTCCTCAGTATTGTGTCACTGAAACAACGTCAGCCGTGTGTATGTGTGTGTATATGTGTGTATGTGTGTGACTGATATGTCACTAATGGGAGCACATACACACACCCTGGGCAGAAAAAGCTGGCTGGTAACCGTTCCGTGAGTCTTTCAGGCAAAGGTGGAGTCAAAGGCTTCCTGGAGGCTGTGTCGTGTAGTAGGGGACCAAGTGTGTGATTAAGGCTCAGGAGTCCTGAGTTCAAATTCTTGCTCAGCCTTGGAAACTTCTTGGGTGTTGGGGGGGGCTAGCTATGGGAAGCCACTCCTTGGGTGTCTCTTATGCCTTGAAAACCCACTGAAGGCTGCCCTAAGTCTGAGATGACTTGAGGGCGCACAATAAGTCTTGAAAACATTTTCCAAAAGGGCAGAATCCTCTATTGAGGGACGCTGGCAGCCCATCGCTTCTTCCCTTACTACACTTTAAGAGCAGTGCGCCGCAGGAGGGGTTAAAGAGATAGATTAGTTTCGTCCTAGAGCGGCCTCTAAGGAACACGGAAGTGCAGTCAGGAACCATGCCTTTCTCTCTTCCCCCGCTCCTTCCTGTCTGTTCCCCTAGCATAAACTTCCCCCCACAGGCAAAGCCGTCACTTAAAGGTTCCCAGGAGGACCGGCAGTGCAATCGGTGGCTTTTCTTTTGTTGTTGCTGTTGTTCTGGGACGAAACCAAGTGAGTTCCCAGGAGGTGGGGGGACGGCGGAGGGAGGCTGGGATGTACCATTTTTGGGGGGAGGCTTTGACTTCTTGGGGAGGAAAAGAAGAGACAGAGACAGAGAGAGAGAGAGAGACCACCCCACCCCCAGGAGGGAAGCAGGACAGCTTGGGGGGGGGCTGGAGGGGTTTGGGGGGCCCTGTGCCCCAATAAGATTATGGAGGGAGGAGAATCCCCGGGTGGGGGAGCCCCTTCCAGCCAGACAAAGCAAAGGGGGAAAGAGTTCGAGTCCCCCACTGTGCCTCCTGGAAAGAGGCTGGACTTCGTGATCTATATAGGGGCCCTTCCAGCTCTGCAGTTCTAAGATTATGATGATGGATGATGATGACATTCACCTTTAGGGGAGGTGAACATGGATTCGTGGGATCGCCCCAAGGAGGACGTGACTTGACAACATGGAACGACAACCCTGAAGCATGGAAGGTTTACTTTTGGACTACCATGCCCAGAATCCCCCACGCACAGCCTAACTTCCCGGGGAATTATGGGGCTTGGATTTCCTGAAATCCAAGTGACAGCCCTAATTTGAACCAGGCTAGGTTCACGAGAGACACATCTCGTGTGGAATAAAAAGTATTTGATAAGCCGTCAAGGGTTGGTTGGTTGGTTGGTTTATTAGCTTTTCTCTTTAAGAAGAACATTTAGATCACTCCAAAGACTAACAAACAATAACCATGCAATAGTAAGAAAGATCACTAAAACAGCAAATGCTGTAAAACAGGAAAAGAGACCTTTCCCCCATGTGTAATATAAAATGTCTGTGAAAAGCAACATCTCTTCACTCCCTTTGGATCTCTTTTGCAGACTTTGGCATGATGATGGGGACCTATCCTGGCTCACCTCTTCTTTCTGGAGGAACGGAAACAGCATCTGTGCAACCTGACCTGGACAGTGTCAAGTGGTGGAGAGGCACTGGCTGCCTCCCTCCCTCGGACCTCTCTCTGAACCTCAAGGTATCTGTTCCGTTCAGTCTGCTTTGGCCCAAGCTGCTCATCAGGAAATAAAGATAGGACTCGAAGAGGTTTTGGACTTCAACTCCCAGAATTCCCCTGATAGAACTTTGGGAAAGATAGCAAAAACTACAGTACACAGATTAGCTTTCATTTCTGACCCATGGGCTTCCATCATGATCATTTGTCTTTCCAGAAAAAGGAAATTGGTACAGTGTTGGTAAGGAATAACGAGGTTTCATGGGTGTCATAAAGGATCTATCTATCTATCTATCTATCTATCTATCTATCTATCTATCTATCTATCTATCTATCTATCTATCTATCTATCTATCTATCTATCTATCTATCTATCTATCACATTTATAGCCCGATCTATCTATCTATCTATCTATCTATCTATCTATCTATCTATCTATCCCATTTATATTCTGCCCATCTAGTAGCAAGCCAATACACTCTGGGCAGTGTACAACAAATTAAAACACATACAGACCCTATGCTCAAAACACCCAAGTGCCAACAATAAACAAAATTAAAACTCAAATACGTATAATAAATCAGCCAGATTGTCATAGGTGGGGAGATATTCTTAAAGGCCTGCTTAAAATGCTCGGTTTCCACCTGCAAGCAGATATAAATGAATATATAATTGTATGTCTAATGAACATTAAAAAAAAAACTTGTCCAAGGACTAATCCAATCCTATGGTAATATGAACATTTTCTGGGCTAAATAAAATGTCAGCATGTGTGCTAATAAAAAACAAAATGGTACTTTAAGATAGAACACTGTCGTTCACAATGTTACACAATACTTAAGAATAAAAGAATGACATTAAAAAAGGATCGCAAAGACTTGTTCTCTAAGTTAGTTTTAATTTTTTTTTTAATTTTTAGGTTTTATTAGGCTGTATAGAGGACTTTGTACCCCATGAAGCCTTGTGACCCCCATGTGTAGGTAACAAAAGCTACACTGTCAATTGCAGTTTTTGAGTGCATCTCCCTGAATTCGGCCGGGAAGAGGAGGTTGTGGTCAAAAAAGTGTATGGAAGTCTCACTCTTGTCAAGAATTAAATCAAATGGTCTCCAACAGGTTGAATCCTAACCGTAACCACCAGTCACATTGTTTGCTTAATTCTGTTTTCTATATTAGTGAAGAGTTGTAGAAGCAGCATTTTCTTTATGAAGCTAAAACGTTTCCTTTTCTCTCAGGGTGTAGTGATGGCTTTTGAGGACGTTGCTGTCTATTTTACGGAGAAGGAGTGGGCTCTGCTGGATGAAGCCCAAAAGACTCTGCACCAGGAAACCATGGAGGAGAATTTAGCTAATCTGATCTCTCTGGGTAAGTTTTTTGTTTTTTTTCTGTTTGGTTGGTACATCCAGTTTATAAATGGTAACAGTTAATTAATGCCCATATGCACACTAATTTTTTTGCCCTTCTAGCTTGTTAGGCTGATGAGTTCTTTTCTATTTTAATTCTAATCAACATACCCCAATTTTTTCCAAAACACTAATGAGTCTTGGACTGGAGTTTGTCCCTTCCAAAATTTTCTAACTTTTACAAAAATGTGCTCCATAACTACATTCCAAACATCTTTAAAATAATTAACCTTTAATATTCCTTTTTTTAAAAATTTCACTTCATTTATCATTAACAGGTAAAATGTACATTTCTTTGTACTATTCTTCCATATGGAAATTATAATTAATCTTGTATCAGTAGAATAGTAAGTAGCTCCTTTCTCCCCCCCAGACCATTGTAGATTACTAGAAATATTTGGCACAGCTATCACCAAAGACATTTCCAAATCCTATAATTTCCTTAATCTCTTTGAGTATCTTTTCCCAAACTTCCTGAATCTTCCCACATTCCCACCACATGTGGAACTACATACCATGAGCTATTTTCTAACGAGCGTTGTAGATGGCAGAAACAGAAGACTTCTCTTTTATGCTACATGCCCTTGGTTTTGTTCCAACATTTGATGCTCTAAATTTTCCAATTTGGATCCTTTTTTATCTTTTCTTGTTTCAGCTACTGATGCGAGAGAGACGAGGGCTGAGGAAGAAGAAGACAACGGACGTTTAGGAGGAGCCGTTGAGGAGAAACAGAAGCAACGGTTAGGATCAAGGGAGAGTTTCAGTGGTAGAAACCAGCTAAGTTCCCATCACCAGATCCACAAGCCGGAAAAGCCATTTAAATGCCAGGAATGTGGGAAAAGCTTCAGTCAGAGCACAGGCCTTAATTATCATATGAGGATCCACACTGGGGAGAAACCATTTCAGTGCTTAGAATGTGGGAAAAGCTTCCGTTGGAGCTCACATCTGGCTTCCCATAAGAGAATGCACACAGGAGAGAAACCCTTTAACTGCCTGGAGTGTGGGAAGCGCTTCAGTGAGAGCCCGAATCTTGCTCGCCATATGAGGATCCACACTGGGGAGAAGCCGTTTAAATGCTTGGAATGTGGGAAGAGCTTCAGTCAGAGCACGCACCTGGCTTGCCATCAGAGGATCCACAAGGGGGAGAAACCTTTTAAATGCCCCGAGTGCGGCAAGCGTTTTCCGTGGACCTCACAGCTTGCTTCGCATATGAGAATCCACACCGGAGAGAAGCCGTTCATGTGCCTGGAATGCGGGAGGAACTTCAGTCAAAGTACTCACCTTGCTTCCCACGTGAGAACCCACACAGGGGAGAAACCCTTCAATTGCCTGGAGTGCGGTAAGAGCTTCAATCAGATCACGCACCTCGCCTCTCACGTGAGAATCCATAAAGGGGAGAACCCATTTACATGCCTGGAATGCGGGAAGAGCTTCAGTCAGAGCACGAACCTCGCCTCCCACATGAGAATCCACACTGGGGAGAAACCCTTTAAATGCCTGGAGTGCGGGACGGCCTTCAGGCACAGCGCCTCCCTTGCCTCCCACACAAAAACCCACACAGGAGAGAAGCTGCACAAGTGTGTGGAGTGTGGGAAGAGCTTCAGTCGCAACACAAACCTCGCCTCCCACATGAGAATCCACACCGGGGAGAAACCCTTTAAATGCTTGGACTGCGGGAAGAGCTTCAGCTGGAGCACAAGCCTCAACGCCCACATGAGGACCCACACGGGGGAGAAATTGTTTCGGTGCTGGGAGTGATGAACACGTTTCGGGCACAACACATTACTTCTTCTTAGGAAATGTCTTTCGTCCTGGGCGGGTGGTCTTCTTGAGACCCTGGTTGACCTCTGGAATGGGGAAAGGCCAGGACTGTGATCCTGAACCAAAAAAGCCACTTGGTTTACCAGGGAACTGGCAGGGATCAAACGAGTAAGACATGGCAAGGCGTTTTGCAGACAATGTCGCTCAGAGGTGTTCTGAGTTAGATGCTGTAAAGTTAATGCAGGCCCGAGTGAATGTAACTTTGGTCCCTACTTGCCCCTGATTTTCAGTCTCGGCGGGTGAAGGGTGCAGACAGGATCCTTGGAGAGCTGATAATCCTCCCTATGCATACTGGATCCCTGATGATAATTAAAAGGAACAGGTCCATCCACCAGACCCGTTAGGCACGAAGAGACTGAGGTCCTAGGATGTCAAAATGTATTCCAAATTAAAAGCCCAACACATTTTGGCTTAGCCTTTCCTGCCTTCTTCAAGGGCCCTATTACATGAAATAGAACAGAAATAGCATGATTTTTTTATCTTTTCTAGGGACGACGTTTCAAGCCTTTATTTCATTTTAGCATGTCTGCAGCACAGCAATTAAAAAATGATAACACCATGACTTTGAATGAAAGCTGTGGTGGAAAATACATATGTACAGGTCTTTTTTCCCCTTCTGTATTACTATTGATTCAATAAAGCTCGTCACAGAAAAAAAAACATAATTCCCCAGCAGACAGGGATCTTAGATATGGCCTTCTTGGTGGCTGCTCCCACTTTATGGCATGTCCTCCCTCAGGGGATCAGATGGGCCCCTCTCTCCTCTTGCTTTGGCAACAACCACCGTAATTGCCCAGCAGACAGGGGATCTTAGATATGGCCTTCTTGGTGGCTGCTCCCACTTTATGGCATGTCCTCCCTCAGGGGATCAGATGGGCCCCTCTCTCCTCTTGCTTTGGCAACAACCAAAGCCCTTTCTTTTTTTTAAGGTCTAAGACCTTAACGTAAGTGTATCGTCTACCTAGAAATCCCTAGAAAGGATCGCCATTAAGTCACAGCTGACTTGAGAGCACATGGGTTATTGTTATTGTTAGATGACCTTGCTTTTTACATGCCTTTTTTAATGGTTTCAACTGGATGTTTTGAATATTGTTCTGTTTAACTGTTAATTAAGTAACGGTTTAATTTATTGTGCTTGAAATCCGTAATTGTTTTCTTTGTCTGAAAGTTCCCATGAGTCACTGGGCAAAAAAAACATGTCAATGAATGAATGAATGAATGAATGAATGAATGAATGAATAATGATGGCTGCCAAGTTTGACATCAGTGCAGAGATTTGCTGTTGCCCACTGGCTACACACTGGTCGCACAACCTGGCGCACAAGAGCCAATGCTTATTTTATGTTTAATGTGTGCAGTTCGTTGCTAAGAGGTTACGCTGGTCGAGTTATGCCTGTTGAGCATAATTTACAGGATGACAGTTCTGGTCGCTTTCTTTTTTTTATTGTTAATTTCTGACATACAAAAAAACCATAGAGCACTAAGAAAGAAAAAAGATACAAAAAGGACAAAAACAAAAAGAAAGAACCAACTACATTTACGGAAAGAAAAAACTCGTAGACCCCTCTATTTGAGATCCCCCCCACCCCCCCTTTGGAGTCAAAGATTCCAGCTTCGTTAACCCCTCTATTCTCCCTATCAGTTTGCAATGTATACTGGTCGCTTTCTCAAGGTAGACTCTCATCCCAGAGCCAGCGCTATGAAGATCCTCGAATCCTCAGAAATTCTGGGACATGGATTCCCCCAAAATCCACAAATCTCCACACCTCTCCGTGGGAGAAAATGTGCAAGGGAGAAGGCAAAAGGGGGGAGTAAAGTGAGAAGATGGAGGGCTGGGAGCTCACTGGAGAGAGCCAGTAAGGCCGCTTTACTAGGGTGGGAGAGCCGGGGGGGCAGGAAAGAGGAACACCTGTGGGATGCTGGGAGCGGTCATCTGAAACACCCACCACTGCCCAGCTCTGCAGCAAATCATCATCATCATCATCTTAGAACTGCAGAGCTGGAAGGAACCCTCTGGATCACAGGGTCCAGCCCCTGCCAAGGAGACTCTGTGGGGAATCAAACTCCCAACCTCTGACTCTGCAACCAGAGACCTAAACCACTCAACTATCCAGCCCCAAAGGGATTTTTAAAAAAAGTCCTCTCCCTCCCGATGAGGGAGAAGGTGGGTGGACTAAAGAAAGGGAGCAGGAATGGGAAGCACTTGTGGGGAGGTCCCTTGGGGCAGAGAGAGCAACCCCTGCATGGCCTTTCCAATGACCTACAAGGCCATGATCTCAGGATGCTCCTTTTACCCACCCAGGAGAAGACCCTGGTGCTCTCCATATCACGACACTCCTGGCCTTGGGTCCCAACCTTTGCGGTCGTTGAAAACCTTCAGATATTGTAAACATTTCTGAGGGAACGTGGCTGGCGTGGACTTCCATCCTGCCGGGGTGCGTTTTTGCCCAGCCTGCAAAAGTTCCTGCTAGTTGATCCGAAGCAAATTTTTAGGACAGAAAAGCAAAAAGGTGTGAGGTGATTTCTTTCCAAATTTGCCATCTGTGTATGCAGGAGGATATATTTCTTTTGCTGTCTCTTCCTTACACACACACCTGGTAAGAGTGGACTTCTAACCCTTGCCAAATTGATTTAATTGGCAGCCGTTGTAGGAAAAGATGTGCATTTATAAACAGCACTCAACACCTATGGAACTTCACCATGATCGTATTCTCGAAGGCTTTCACAGCCGGGATCTGATGGTTGTTGTAGGTTTTTCAGGCTCTTTGGCCGTGTTCTGGAGGTTTTTCTTTGTAACGTTTCGTTAGTTTCTGTGGCCAGCATCTTCAGAGGAGTCAGAACACAGACAGGAAGAAAAACCTCCAGAACACAGCCAAACAGCCCGAAAAATCTACAACAACCTTCACCGTTATTGCTTTGCAGATTGATTATAGGCAGGGAGCTTACTCTGTTACTTACTCTAGGTAGAAGCAAGTGACAGTAGTCCACCCCTCAGGTTGCCCTTCTTATCCATGGGGTGTGTGGAACCATTTAATTCTGTTGCACCCTGAAGTCCGTGTCTCTTGTGACATTAAAACATCCAACTTGGGGGAGATACCCAACCTTTGACTTCCACCCTGCGACGTCCCTGCTAGTTTCCTGCTAAACTCTGTTAGTGTTTCTGCGTTGTTTTGCATATTTTGCTGTGCCTGGTGGTGGCTATTTAAGAAGGTGCAGGGTGTTGAAAAAAAAATGTTCTTGTTAGGAGGTCATAAGCAGAAATGACACTAAGCCACCGGCAGGTATAATAAAGGAAAAGTTTTATTTAAATCACATCAGGTGAACAGGGAATAAGATTACAAAAGAAATCAAAGGAAAATCAATTAACACAATGCAATGCCATGACGAAATGAAAAGTGTAAGCCTGTATTAAGTATCATAACATTAGTTGTGCAAAATCAGCCGTGGGTAGCCTGTTATAAATCACTACATCTGCCCCTAACCTTTCACCAGCTCTCTAGCTGAAAAGGCCCCAGAGCAGTTGGAATCTGCAAAAGTAAAAATTACACGAAGAAAAGTGAAATGAGAAGCATCTGTACGTGAGTATGGAAGAATGTAGTTCTGAGTCCGAGCCTCAAGCCATTATTGGCTTCTTGCTTCACTGAAGCCCCAGATTGTTCAGGGTCCTGCTTGGCTTCCTTACCTTCCCCCCTTAAAATTCAGTTCTGTGTTGGGGCAGGTGGCAAGCTGGAAGAAAAAGCGCAGGGCACCACTCGTCTTGATTCCCGAAAGCTAATCACCTTTTTGTTTGGTGGTACGCGATGTGGCCCTAGCAGCTGATCAGGGACACTCTGGGCCTGGAGCCACTGAAAGCATCGTGCCTTGTAGCCTGTCCACACGGTTCCGTTGTGTTTCAGCTCGGCCACAGCAATGACGTATTTGTCTTTGCTCTTTCCATCATGCAAAGGTCCAGGCTGGGAGGAATTCTCAGCCCCTTTTTGCCAACAGGGAAACAGTGTAGGAAGCAAACCAAAGATTTCCTCCATGCCGTTCTACAGGCCAGGAGGCCAGACTACAGACCACATCTCTGCAGGCCCGTTCAGGCCACATGTC